TGCCTACAGTAAAAAGTTTGGAGTTAATGGTTAAAATAGATATTCGTCTTTTCTGAGGAATATAAGAAACAATTTTACCTCTATTTGCCTGGGAGTTGGTTGTTCTGTGGTCGGGACCACAGTCAGTGGCTCTGTGGTCAGGAACACAGTCAGCTGCTCTGTGGTCGGGACTACAACTGGTTGTTCCGTGGTCGGGGCAGCAGTTGATTGGGATGAAGTTAAATTGATGGGAGATTGCGCTACGGGTGACTGATGGTCGGTCGGTTGATGGTCGGTCGGTTGAGAGATAGACGGAGCAGTGGTCGGTGGCAATGAATGACCTTCTGAAACAGAGGAATTGAAGTTAAAGAGGACCGCAAGGAAAAATGAAATAATGAAAGGAACAAGAATTACCAAATTGTTGCTTAAATACTTTGGCATCCCACTGGTGTCTATTGGCAGAGATGCCAAGTATTCTTCAATAGCCTGCCTATCAATGGCAGGAGTGGCCTTTTTCTTTTGCCTCTTCGCTCTAGACCCGCCTGCAACAGGTGCCTGCCTTTTTCTTCCTATGGCTGCTAGACGATGAGAGCCAAGGGCCAAGGCTGGAGGTGGAGCAAGTTTTCCGACCAGTTGGTCAGTTGAAAGGGCAAGCAAAGACCAGGTAGCTGACCACCAGGCAGGGAAAGTTTCAGTTGTTGAGGATTTCGGGCAGAAAGGTAAGTACGAATTGGAGGTGATATAGCTGGTGAGATGGGAGATATAGGTCGGGGATCACTAGTCCCTCTGGGCTTTGAAATATCAGGTGGGGACTGGCCAACGGTCCCGGTATGCCTTGGCAGCAGCCAAATTGTCTGGCCAAAAATTGGGGTTGATAATTGTAAGTATAAAATGACTTGCGGTTTTTCTTATCCGACCTCCTACTGGAAAAAAGAGATCGGGGTTTCATTGCAACGTCCCATGAAAAAGAGTAGGTCGGATGAGGGATAGGATCGGGACGAGTTAGAGGATGAGTTGGGTTAGGATAGAGAAAGAAAAGATCAGTCGAATACTGTATTAAAGCTGTGTATACATGGAAGCGGGAATTGTTGCGATCCTCAGTTAAAATTTGGGCTATTACAGGGTCGGATGATTTTAGACAAGAAGAATTAGGGGTTAGTCTGGCTAGGGCATAACCAATAGATCTATAAGGATTGGGAGAAATAGGGAGGCGACCAAAAAATACGAAAGGAAAGTACAGACGGAGCCACAGTTCTAGGACCCAAAATGGTCCCGAGGCTGCAGTGTTTGCCTTTTTAGTATCAGTTAGACGGAAACTCACTCGAGTTAAACCTTCAAAAAGGTTAGCTAAAAACAAGGTGCCCAATGAGCAAAAATGGCCACAGGCCAGTTGGATGGCTAAGTCAACTTGAGTAGAAAGAACAAGTTTAGAAGGGGAGATAATGATGTACCTATGACGAAAGAGGAAAGAAATTTAAACTTGAGTACCTAAACTTCGAAGATACAAAAGAAATTAAAAGGGAGAAGATATACCTGCAAAGCCAAAAGAGGAGGAAGGCTGTGTGTTCCAATTCGGAAATAGGGGTACCCTCCTTACCCTGATATTTGTTGACGAAGTTTGTCCATCCCCTTTCTCTTTCAGGAAGTTTAGCTAGGGCCCAACATTGATGGTTGGGAGAAGGTTCTTGACCTCCGAAAGAGACCAGAACAGGATCCTCGCCTATGATCGGAAGATGCGCAATAACTGCTACATCCATCAAGGTTGGTCCAATAGGACCTGAGGGGAGGAAGAAGGCACCTGCCTGAGAATGCCAAAAGGCTGTCATGGCCAGTAGGACTTTGTCATGAAGATAGAGAGATTGTGTTGAAAGGAGGATAGCTTTATCAATCCCCTGATTTTTCCATTGGTCCTCGAAATAGGGAAGAAGCCTTGCGTACCATATGCGATAGGCATCTTTCGGATCAGTAATGTGAGTCTTGATACTGTTTAGGAGGCGTTCTGGCTTGAACGCATCGTTGTTGACAATAATGGGAGAAACTTGCGCAATAACGGACCTCATGCGCTCAGCGTCTACAGTGGTAGTGCAGTAAGGGCGTATGGTAGGAGTAAGAACTTTCGAAGCCACAGAGGGCATTGAGGGATCGGGCCTATCGAAAGGAAGCGCAGGAACATACTGGTTAGCCATTTACGTGAAGGTGAAGGAGACGAAGAGGAAGTAAATATCAAGAGGGGAAGTTAGATAGAGAAACAGAAGGGGATTTTCAGAATTTTGAATGCGTGAGTTTGAGAAGATGAAGGTAGGGTTTAACATAAACCCTTTGATTTGACACGGCACAGTGTGATGATCACACTCTGTAACCCCAAAACATCACGTCTTCCGTAGTTCAAGGAGTGACGTTTCGGCGGGAGGAGGCAAGTTGTTGAGCAAAAAAAATGGTAAATAGGGTTTTTTGAGAATGGGCCTACCAAATTAGGTTAAGATTTATTCAAAAGTGTAGTGGGCTTTCGAAAGTCCAAATATAGCTGTAATGACTTGGTCGGGTCAGGCTTAAGGTCGGACAAAATAAGGTCAGGTAATGAAGCCAAACTTGGTCGGGACTTAATAAGGTCAGGCTCTGAAGTCGTACTTGGTCGGGACCTAATGAGGTCGGACATCGAAGTCGGACCTGGTCGGGATAAAATCCAAAGGTCGGGTGTGAAAAGGTCGGACACAAAATTGAGACGGTATGAAGTCGAAGGTCGGGTGCGATAAGCACGGGCGCTGAGGTCGAGTACAATCATGTCGAGTTCGATGATCGGGCACAGTTAGGTCTGCTATGGAGATAAGGCAGTATAAGATCGGGCCTAACAAGGTCGGGCAGTGAAATAGCTAATCTGCAGGCCAAGTGAGAAGGCAGTTCCTGGTAGAGTAAGGTAGTTTGAACTGGCGAGCGGTTTTCAAAGGTCGGACGTGGTAGGACGGTTGACACACGTGTCAATAGAAGAGAATTTTTGGGGTGGTTAACAACGGTTATGGTAACCGACAAGGCAGCGGTTCGAACCGCATCTGCAAGGGGTTATTTAAGGATTCCGTACTGTACAGAGAAGGCATCTTCAACTGACAAAAATTCAAGAGAATTGCTTTTGGGGATCACCACTTTATTTTTCAGTCTTTTATTTTATTTTTCCTATTTTTATTTTATGTATTCTACAGTGTTTAGAGATCCCTAATCTCAGGCACTCATCTATCAAATTCGTAGATATTTCTCTATTTTCGAATTTTACTTTTTATTGTTGAAAAATTGCATCAACGGATATATTGTAAATTGGAAAAGTATTTGTAATGTTAGATAAATAGTACAATTATTAAAAATATTTAGAGGTGTTTGACAATTACTTGTTAGTTGATAGTTGGTTCATTTAACCGGTTTAACTAGTTGTTACATATTAGCTACTTGTGCTAAAATATTTAGTAAAATAGTTGTTTGATATTAGTTGTTTATACATAATGACAATTAAGATAATTTTATATTTTATTGTTAAAATGATTATTTGTATTCTTTTGGTGTATAAAATTTTTAATTTTTATTATTAATTGTTGAAATTTATGAAAATTTTAGCAAAATATTGATTTTTTTTGTTTTGAAAAAAAAAATTAAGAAAATGAATGTATTTTATTAAAAAGATATGACTATTTCTTTTATTAGAAATAGTGTAAAATATAAGAGAACAAATTATTTGTATATGTATTTTTAATTAGATTAATAATTAATTATTTTTTCTTAAAATTATAATTTTAAATAAATTTATTTTAATATAGGCATCTTTAATGTAAAAATATATATAATATACCTTTATTTTAACACATTTATAAATTTTACAAATAAAATAATTTACATATAAAAAAATAATATATTTTTAATTACTAGAAGCTTATAAAACTAAATTATTTAAAGTCATAAAAAAAATAATTAATACATACTGTTATAAAAAATACTCCCTCCGTCCCACCAAAATTAAACTCTTTGATTAGGGACACGGTATTTAAGGTGACGATATTTTATTAGTTAATAATAATTAGTTATGATATTATTATATTATTTTTTTATAATTAATAATATTTATAGTTTTAAAGTAAATTTAATATATATGATTAAAAAAATTAAAATATATGTTTAAATATTTAAAAATTATATAGTAATTAAAAAATATATTTAATATAGATATCATTTTACAGAGAATATTAGGAGAGGTAGAAATAAAGGGTTTTAAGTGGTCCTATGTCATTTATGATTTTGTATGTTACGTATTTAAATATATTTTGATTTAATAATTTTTACCAAAAATAGAAAGGTATCAATTATTACAGATAAAAATAGAAATGTTATCAATTGTGATGTGACGGAAGGAGTATATTTTATGGTAATTGGTAAAAAGTATAAGTAAAAAACATTTTAGAAGATAGTAAAATTTATGTAATAATAATGAAAAAGTAATGAAAGTCTTATTGTAATATATTTGTTTATAGAAATAGGACTATCGTTTTAAGACAAACGAAAATGAAAAAGTGACTATTATTTTAGGACTGAAAAAATAAAACTTAAATGTTTTAAATATAGATCGAAATATAAATAAATTATGCATAAGTTAATCCATAAAAAATATGGCGTATTATCTCAAACAAAAAAATTATTTTATAATTTAATTATAGTAAAATAATAGTGACAAATTAATGCAATTTGATTTTAAAAATTGCTTATAAAAATATAAATAGACACTACTAATATTATATATACATTATTTTTGCAATATCTATATTTAATTGATAGAATCCATAAATCTCCAATATTTAAATCGTGTGAAATATTTTAATTTATTCAAATAATTCTCATATTAAAATATTATATACTCCGTCCATTCGCCCTTTGTCTATTAGTATTATAAGATACAAATGAAAGTATTTTTGCAATTTTTTCTATGATTTGATATTATAATGAATATTCAAAGATCAACACGCAGTAAAAAGAACTCTAAAAGCCGGATGAAGATAGTATTTAATAACCACAATCAATTTTTACAATTCAGTAAAATTTATAACTACCCCGAGTAGGGGAAGTTCCCCTACGCTATAGTATGTATATATCTATTTCAATGTGACTTACCAGATAGGTATCTTTATCTATTCTGCTGTGCTGCGAGTAATTAAGGACAAGACAAACAAACCATTTCTCTTCTTCTGTAGTCTTTCTGGGATCAAAATCGCCACATAATAAGATGGATGTTCATACAAATTAAAACTATGCACTCCAATCATACAATAATTCCATGAAAACCGAGTTATCTTTCTTCAGCCTAACAATTTGATGACAAGATATATATGGAAGATTGCATGCTTAGGAAGAACCATAGCAAGAAACTATTCTCCAGACATCATCTGCAAAATGCCAAAAGAAACAAATAAATAAAAGTTTAGATCAATATGGCAAATAGGGGAAAGGGTAGGGACAGGACGGGACGGGACGTAACAACAATTATGCCTAGGTAGGTAACATCTATGCAAGTGCAATGGGTAAACTGCAATTTACACCTCCAAAATACAAAATAACTTTTAAACCATCTGGAGATTAAGAAGATTCTTTTGGGGTGTCTTAAGATTTAGTTTTAGGGAATTTGTTTCCTACAATATTTTTGGAATTCTGTAGTACATGAGCATTGATTATAAAATTAAGAAAACCACATAACATATCCTACCTTAAACAACTCCCCAAACATTCCTGGCATAGCATTTCTACGCCGGACACCATAAAACTTCTCGGCAACTTCATCCAGCAACTAACAAACCATGAAGCCAATAAAAGCATTAACTACCAACTGAGTTTTTATCGAAAAGTAGACCCAAACATGTGTGTGTATGTGTATGTGTGAAGTGTAGAAACTGCATACTTCATTGAAAATAGATTCTCTGTCTATACTAGGTTTGTAGCGCTGTCGCAGCATATTGAAAAGAGGCAAAGCATCTCGTTGTAACCTGCATTGCCATAATGAAAGAAGCTTTTATTGTTCAAGCTGTTTCTACTTACAAAAAGTGCTTTGATTGCTTCAAATTTGCAGCAACGTAACAGATCTTATATCAGCAATGAAGTAACGAGATAAGACAACATACGTCCTCAGGAGATAGCCGATGAACTCCATTAATTCGGATTGTGGAAAATCCACCTCTCGTGATTGCACTTGCTTCTTTATGTCGTCCATAAGGATGTTGGCATCTCTCAGGTTACCTAGAGCCAAGTACCTTTACAGAGGGAAATATATTTTGATTCAGATAAAATGCAAAACAAGGAATCTTCTCAGGGAGACAATATTTGACAAGGCTTCAAGCAAACAAGGAAGAAACAGACATAATGTATGTCTAATACTTTAGTTATACAGAAGCACATAAATACAGTGGTATACTAATTTATTTTAGCAAACATCTGACATCCAGGTGAATTAGTTAAACAGGTTTTTTTTCGAACAACACTACCAATTGATCAATTTATCTAAAATTTTACATGGAAACAATATAAATATTTAAATTTAATTTGTCCAACATGAAACCTAAATAGTTTTCCAAAAACTTTGCATATTGGACAATTTTTCATGAATAATTGACAAACTAATATGGGACCTCCACCACATAACTACATAGAATGACTACTTCACTTAAAAGTGGTCCATTCAGCAACAACAACGATATAGATATATATATATGTATTGTTAGAATTAGAAGAGTGAAAGAGATCAATTGCTTTCACATTATCGTTCATTGAGATTAAATGGGTACATTAAGCTATTCATTGAAATAGATAGACACAGGTCACAAATTAATGCACAAAAATTATAGGCACTAATCTTGCTAATAATAATAATTATAATATCTATTTCCCGCCCCCCACCCTCTCAAGCCGGAGAATACATATTATAAGCTCTAAGTTTATCGAAAGTGCACCAAACTTATGAAACTCCAGAGGCCCTTTATGAACAAATCAACAAGTTGATCTTTAGACTAGATGAGGGGAGTTCGAATGAACTTTCTTGTAGTTTTTCTCATGAAAAAAGGAAAAAGGACAATCCACTTCAATGAGTTCAATTCTTTTAAGAAATATTAGATTTGAGGCAATATGAATCGTCGCTTGATTGTCACAAGTTAATTTAATGGGAGATGGATCGTGAAAACCAACTTCAATAAGAATATTCAATGACCAAATTAGCTCGATATTCAAATTGTGCATGAGAACAGAAACACAATCCATTTCTTACTTTTCCTAGATATAATGTTGTCACCAAGAAACATGTAGTAGCTTGAAGTGGATCTTCAATCATGCAAACCTACCCAAACCGCATCATATATCCTAGTACTAGGAAATGACAATGATTTTTATTTGAGAGATCTTGTCCAGGTGATCTTTTAGAGAGAGTAAAAATGCATATTACAGCGTCACTGTCGGATTTTCAAGGTGATGCCAAATTGACTTATGACACTTTGTAGACTATTAAATAGTTCAATTTGCCAACAGATCTACAATATCTTGCTGGGTCTTACGAGCAATCTTTTTTCTTTGCATCATATTTAACATTAGGGTCCAAAGAACTATCTATTGATTTTGAGCAAAGCAGCCATGTTTCTTTCAACAAATCAAAAACATACTTATTGTGTGACAGGCAAATCCCCAACCTGGAGCGAGCATAGTGGAAAATATAGTTTGACCCAAAAGCACAAAATAGTTTAACGTACAAGAAAGCATGCGTTCAAAATAGCATAGAGTACAGACTCAAGGGAAAACTAAGTGACGGACAGGCACTAGCCACAGCTTGATATGTTTTATCGCATTAGCTCGAGTAACAGGGGTGAGCAAGCTTGATAGAAGAAATGAAGAAAGTAAAAAGAAATTACCAGATACATGGTCAATAGCACCGGATCAAAAGCCTATGGACCAAGAAAGGACTGACCAACATGGGAATCGTGGCATCAAAAGAGGAGGTCAACTGCTAAGATGCCTTGAACAGAAGATATGCAGTATAATTGGCACGACTTATGGTGTTAGATAAAGAACAAGTAAATCAAATCAGCAGCAACTAGCAACATACTTTAATATAACCCCTTTTGTGACAAGTCACTACAATTGGCTTTCAGAACAGATTGACTTAAAAGAGTCAGCCATAGGCAGCGGATAGCCCAGCAAGGCATGACTGCAACATGTGTGCCACATGCACGGCGGGAGGTAGCGACAGAGATGGATGCGGTGTGGCATTAGAAACTCTTCAGTGTGGAGCGTGACAGAAGGCAGCGTTGGAAATGGGCTGGAAATAATGGGCCTAAACTAATCATAAGTAATAGGCCTAAGCTAACATAGACAATAATCTAATTAGGAAAGGAAGATATGGACCTATTTTTAGTTGACACACTAATTTACCCCCAAATATGAGACTGAAGAAAATATTCCACAAAAGGATAAGTAAAGAAGAAACACACAAATCGCAAACTTCAGCAGATGATCCCTCGGCAATGGTAAAAGGATTATTTTGAGAAGTGGACAAAGGAGAATTGTGAGGAACAATTTTTTATTACTTGAAACATGATCCAAAGGCCTGGAATCAAATATCCAAGGATGACTCAAGGAGGTAGAAATATGGCAAGCCATTGGGTTATCTTCATGGGTTATTGGCACCATAGAGGATGTCTAAAACTCAAAACATTTGATGTATTCTTCAGGAGAATCTGTTGTGGGGAAGGCTACACTTTAGTAGTATCACTCGCAAACGACTGAAACTGGATTGGCAGCCATGGAATCAGCAATTGATGGACACCTTGGCTGGGCAGCCATGGTGCACAGAAAGAGAACATAAAATATTTCAATTTAAATTGAGATTGCAACAACTGAAGTAGAAATGAAACCGCCCCAAAGTTGATCTTAGATGGGAAACACAACCTAACCCACTAATTTTTCTGAGATTGGTGGCAGACGTTTGGTGTGTCTCTCACACACCAGTGTGTGAAGAGGACAAATTAGGAAATAATATGCTAGGGAAAGATTAATTGAAGAAAATGACTGAACCCAAGTTGAAGCAGGGTATTCTGCTTCTGCTACCATGTAACAATTGAAGTGAAGGAGAACAGTTGCATACAGTTTATCCTTCATTGAGATTACATAGGTACATATATAGATTCATCGAAATCGATAGAGACGAATCACAAGATTAATGCACACTAGTTCTAGTTCCAGGAACTAATATAACACTATTTCTAGGCACTAATCATGGTGCTTAATGCTATACATCACAATAATAAAATAATAACAGGATAAACGTTCAATAAGTAGTTAGAACAAATACCTAGATTAAGTAAAAATTACTCCATTTCCTAGACTCTTATACCTAAATCTCACCAATTATACAATGCATCAAGTTGAACCATTAGTGCATCCAACATAATGCACTAAGGGGAATGTTTTCATATGGTTATGCTACATTAATGTACTCAGAACTATGATTTACTGGACAAGGATCATTTTTCTGCAACAAAACATGCTGAACTTATCATAAGGCAAACATTTTCATTCCTTAACAAGTTTACAAGGTCATAAATTCATATTCCATGGCAGAAATATTAAATTCATTTCAATTTTACAGAAATAATAACAAGGTTGATCTGTATACTATTGATCTTGCCATCTTGGGATGTTTAACAAAACAAATAAATAATCGAAATAAGTCTAATATATTTAATTTCAGTCATGCTGATTAAAGTCTGAAAGAAGCCCACATATATCAAACTTTCTAACTCTCGTGTACATTCAATGTGGGATAATAAAAGGTGCTTTCCACATATATGTCCACTTTTCAAAATAACAAGACCAATCACAAACTGAAGTATAATAGAGCGATATAATCAAATGAGCTAAAGAAATCAGTAATTAGAAACTTAAAATTATATGCAAAACTACTTACATCAAGACAGCACGGGCAACAGCAAGATCATCTTCACCTGGATAACACTGCAAAATTAAAGATACTTAACAGATCAATTGTGGAATTATCTCAAATGTTTAGAGGGCTTAAAACCTTCTAAATTGTATTAAACAACTTAAGTTTCAATATCACAAAACATACTCCATCGAAATAATCAAAACAGTTATTCAAACATAACTATGTGATGCTAGTTCATATACCATTTCCTCAAACTTTTAAAGAAATCGTAAGGCATTTTCATATAAATAAATAAATAGACTAACCTTGCCCATAAAATTTACTAGAGTTGAAGAAAATTTATGTGGATTCTTTCCCCGCACAAAATGAAATGATACTCTGGCCATATCCTGTAAAAATTGAAGCTATGTTAGAGCAGCGTTAACAACCAATACCACAAGAAGTGCCACATTCCAGGAAGATGATTTTTATTCCCACACAATGAAAAAGAGCAAAATTATTTGAAATCATTTCCAATGATGAAGAAAGATATTGCAATCCTAGGAAAACAGATAAATGACTAAGCTGACATTTTAAGCCTCTATCTTTGATTCCTTATTCTCAAGCAAGTTTTGCGCTGTGTAAAAGGTGCTGTCTTTTTGAGTTATCATCAAACCAGCAGTGCGTCAAATGAATAGTCACATGTTTCCTTAAACAAACTTCCACTTCCTGCAGTCAAGTATTTCTCTCCAAACTAATGTAAACACAACTCCAAGAACTTCACTGAAGTTCACTAAACAATAGAGATCTGATAGCAACACGCATTCCACAGCATTAACTTAACCTACAACAGTAACAAGTTGACAACTAAAGGGAAAACAACAACTATATCAACTATGCACATTTTGGCAACCAGATTGAATTCTTCAATCTTGTTATTAATCTACAAATAGAAAATGTTCGAATTCTTAGAATTTTACGAATGAACCTTAGATCGAAATTTTTCTACCTTTTTTCATAGAATAAGACTTAATTTTGAAAAACCCAAAATCATTGATATTGGCTTACTACCACAGAGGTTCAGAAAGAGTGACCCCAAAAATGAGTGAGCACAGCCAAGGATAAGTGACTCACTACCCATTGGGCCAATCACTCTCTCGCAAGCTAAGAAGTCACCAACTTGCTTTCTATCTCACCGCGCAACTATAATCTAGTTACTATGGAAACAGCAACTGTGGAATGAAAGAAGATGAGATGTTAATCCAACTATCTTTTAATAAGTTTCTAGCATTCTAAAACCCACATACCCTTTACCAAATGACTTCAGTGAGACACAACCCAACTCCGATCTAATGTACAATACAAAGAGAAACAATCCAACTCACGATGATCCAGGGATTGACTGTGAATTTGCCTCACTGAATAAGGAGCTAGACTTCCCACTAAATCCACGCAATAACTACGTAATATTCATCTAATAATTGCACTTGGATTGTTTAATGGTTGCACCTAAATTACCTCGGCCATTAGCATTAGAATGGCTTAACTCCCCTTCCATGATGTTGTAGTATTTCTTTATTTGCAAGTCTTTCATTTGCCTATATACTAAAGGCTCAAACAATGTATTGCAAGAGAGATTAATATCGGGTGTTTCGTTCATCTTGTAAACATTTGTGCTTGTGGCTTGAGTTAAAATTCGAGTTGGCTCTGCCTTTATTTTGCAATTGCTTGTCGTTTATTGACCGCTGACAATTCGACCATTGCTCAATGCCAGTAAATTCCTTTAGTTTAGAGTGTTCACGTTCAATTTGGTTTGTTCCAGTTGGGCTCTTCACTGACTAATTCAGTTTCCTAGTTCTGCCCTTGTCCCTCCTATTTCCTTCTTGTGAAGATATTGGGTCGTTGGTGGCTTTGTTCTCCTTGGATTCTTGTCCAAATGATCAATAAGTGTGGACTCCATTTCACTTATTTGCCTATTACTTAGCTGCGGTCTTATTTTCTGCTGCATCTTGCACGCCCAACCATGCCACTTACTTCCACAACACTTGGTAAGTTCATAATCATAAGGTAAGGACATTATAGCTTTAACTCATTTATATCGCTCAACTCAGACCATCTGAGTTGACAGTAACCATCTTGATCTGCAACCATTTTGATTGGTTCTCTCTGTCAATTATCATCAATAGATGACCCCGATCAATTTTGGCTTTAATCATTTTTATCTGCTAAATTTCATTTAATTTTTTCCTTGGCTTCTCTCCGAATCTCACCAAACAAGAAAGCTTTCTTCAACTCCCATTTGTGTCCTAAACTAATAAGTGCACGACTGAAACACACTTGAGAAGATAGACCATAAAGTTATAAACAGTACCTGTAAAAGAAATGAAACCGCCTTCTCTTATATAGCAGTCAAGTATAGTCCTAGAACTCTAATAGCTAGAAGAAACCAAAGAAGAAGGATGAGACAACTGACACGTATAAAGCTATTTAATAGAAAATTAATGGGGGCAAACCAGCAGCATGAGAAAAGACAAGAATATTATAATCCAAAATAACCCATCAAACTAACCAACTTGATTTATTTCTCTATATGCATGCAATGAAAGGGCTCGATAGTTAATTCTGAGTAGTGGATCTGACATGTTTTAAAAAACACTCTTAAATAATGCATTAAACTCCAAAAAAGCATTAAAGAAACAAGGCATACCACTTCAGGAGATTCCGAGTAGATGTAATCAGCTAGCATGTCGTGAATTTCAGGAGAACCATTCTTATGCGCTCCAGATTCAATAGACCACCTGCACAGAGAACGAATGTATTAGTTCCATCCAGCAAAAAAATAAAAGAAATAAAAAGTAATTATTAATCTCACTTCTTCTAGCACATCAAACTTCCAAAGAACTAGAATCTCAAACCTCAAGAACATTCATGGGACTTAAATTTTTTAACTACTTTTACTCACATCATATTACTTCCCTAAGCTCCATCTAAGCAAAGATACACACCATATCCAGAGCCTTGCTTTCACCTTGATTGTCTACCTAATATATTGCTATTATCCTTATGTTGGATCCTGCAATTCGGAGGTTCCAAGAATGTTTGTCGATTTGTCGGTGTGTGTTCTAAAAGTACTCCAAAGAGCCTGTCCGTCGTCAGATTGGAGGCGGCTCCTACGATGGAGCCTGCACAACTTCGATCGTCCACGAGGCTTTGAGCCTAAACGACCGATTTCGATATATTTAAACTAACATCTACTAAAACTCAGATAAATCTACTGGAAAGCGGATAAAAGTATGTAATTCAAATTAAAATGCATTAAACGAAAATAAAACATGAAAGAAAAGTAAGAAAATAGACGAATTGTTCTGTTGTGCGTGTGTGTGTTGTGTTTCTTTTTCCTACTTGTAATCCTAAGCTAGCATAACCACTTCTCCCACTAAAAGGGGCGGTTACAATTATTTCTCCACCACTCTCAACCACTTGGTAACCTCCCACTACTACCTCCACCTTCCTGGTAACCTCCCATTACTACCTCCAACTTCCAAATCACCTCATTCCACTACCTCCTAACCACCTCGTAACCCCCTTCCATCAGCTCCCTGGTAACCTTCTTCCATAAGCTCCTAACTACATGGTAACCTTCTTCCATCAGCTCCCAGCCGCTTCCATTGCCTCTGGACCGGGTTCCACTTGCTCTGAACTTCTTCCATTGCCTCTGAACCAGATATATTGTTTACTCCGACTTGTTTCCATCGTACTCCTAGCCGGTCCACGGGGATGTATCCCCAACAGCCTCGAGTTAAATGAAATCTTCGGTTTTCCTCTTGCTGGTTTGTTCCATGGAGCTTTTTGAATAAAGCATAAGAGTGCATAGGTCCTCCACTAATGTTAAGTACGAAATTATTAACCCAGGGCCAACGGAGGTAGTTATCACATGATCTGTGGAAGCTGTTGCTTTCTATCTTGTGGAGGCAACCTTCCTCTGCTTTCGGCCCTGTGGAAGCACCACAATCCAATGGAAACTGTTTCCTTCGGTTCTGTGGAAGCAGCAGTCTTTGGCTCCGAGGCTTGAAGCTCCATTGCTGTTGAGCGGCTCCGTGGCCAATGAGCTCTGGCACCACTTTTGTCTTTGAGCCTCCTTGTTCAGGTGCTTTTGGACCTATGTCCAACAATGCCCTCCTCAAAAGGGCTGGGCGATTGTTTCCATTGAGCCTATGTCCTTTTGCCTTGAGCCGTTTACTTGAATCAATTGTGGTCACTTCTGTCGACAAGGGATCCTCCTCGGCCTTCACTTCTTGGACTTCATTTCCATCCCAAAACATCAACATTTGATGGAGTGTCGAAGGTACACACTCGCATGCATGAATCCAACTCCGTCCCAATAGAGCCGAATAGAATGGCCTACCGTTAATCACCATGAAATTTGATGATATTTCCTTTGTCCCCACCTGCACATTCAAAGTGATCATACCTGCCGGTATGTAAGAAAATCCCACGAAATCGGTAAGCCGCACAAATGTAGAAATCAAATCAGCACTAGTCTTTCCGAACTTCCGTAGGGTCTCAATTGGCAACACATTCACAGAAGCTCCACTGTCCACCAGAACTTGGTCAAGAGGATAGCCATTCATCGAGACCCGAATGTGCAAAGGCTTGACATGTTGGTTTTGGCCAAGCCCGAGCCTCTTATATTCTATCATCATTGCCACATCATTCCATTCGAAGATAGGCTCTTCGTCAACGAAAACTTCCTCTAACTCTTGAACTTCTTCTGGAGGCTCCTCTATTTGTTTCTTTTTAGGAAAGGATTCCATAGCCTGGTTCCTTAGCGGCTCCACAACCTGCTTTCTTTCTGGAAGTGGTTCCACAACCTGTTTCCTTTCTGAAAGCGGCTCCACAACCTGCGTCCTTTCTGAAAGCGGCTCCACAACCTGCTTCCATTCCGAAAACGACTCCAGAACTTGCTTCCTTAGCGGTTCCACAGCCTGCTTTATTTTTTGAAGCGGCTCTACAACCTGCTTGTTCTCTGAAAGTGACTCCACAGCGTGATTCCTTTCTGAAAGCGGCTCCACAGCCTGCTTGTTCTCTGAAAGTGACTCCACAGCGTGATTCCTTTCTGAAAGCGGCTCTACAGCCTGCTTCGTTGGCGCCTCCATGGCCTGCTTCCTTTCTGGAAGCGGCTCTACAACTTGCTTCTTTTTTGGAGGCTTCTCCATGGCCTGCTTCTTTAGCGGCTCCATAGCCTGCTTTTGTTTTGGATGCGGTTCCATTGTTTGCTTCCTTGGCGGCTCCATGGCCTGCTTTCTTTCTGGAAGCGGCCCTACAATTTGCTTCTTTTTTGGAGGCGGTTCATGCGACCTTTCCTCCTCCATACGAGCCTCCAACTTTCTTCTTTGAGCTCGCCTCTTTTGGGTCCTAGTGAGTCCACTTATTGCCCCCCTAGTGGAAAGCTTCGGCTCATTCACAATCCATTTTTCGTTCTCTTTTATGATAGGAGGCTTTCGTGTCACCTTGGGAATGATGGTGATCTGGTCAGCCGTGGTAATAGTCCAAATCCATTTCCCATTTATGACTTTCATTTCTGCTACGATGGCCTCCTGCTTGGGTCTTTTGTATACTTTCCTCTTCTCTAATCTTGAGACTTTCGGACTTGGGATGGTGATATCGGCATTAGGCTCTTTCTTGGCCGTCTTTGGTCGTGCCTCCTTTATGTTCAAACTTGAGCCTTTAGCAAATGTCATTCTTGTAAAGACGGCTTCTTTAGCGGGTGCCTTCGGTCCTAGATAATCTTGAACCGAAGGTTTTGACGGCTGAGTGCTAAGCCTGTCTTTCATCAGCCCTTTAGCCGACATGGTATTAGCAAAAGGAATAAACCCTTTGGTCGGTTTCAATTCCGGACACAAATAAGTCTTTTCATTTGCTAATTTTGTGGCCAAAGCTTCTGCCTTCGCAACGTCCTTTTCGTTTGAAGTCGCTAGGGTTTTTACCTCTGCAAGCTCCTTTTCGCATTGAACCTCCATAGTCTCTTGAGTCTATTGAGTCTCTTCCCCTACAAATTTTGGAGCTTCCACAGCTTCTGGAAGCTCTGCCTCCGCAAACTCCTTTTTGTTAGGAGCCTCCATGGTCCCTGGAATTTCTGCCTCGGCGAATTTTGGAGCTTCCATGGCTTCTGGAACCTCTACTTCCGCAGACTCCTTTTCAACTGGAGTTTCCACAGCTTCTAGAGTCTCTGCTTCCGCAAACTCTGGAGCTTCAATGGCTTTTGGAACCTCTGTCTTTGCAAATTTTGGAGCTTCCATGGCTTTCGGAACCTCTGCCTCCACAGATTCCTTTTCGTATGAAGGCAAATTTTCTGCGCCCAAACTAGGCTTCTTTTCAAACCTTTTTTTTGAAAATGCCCTCCTTATGCAATCTGCGATGACATCAACGTCCATCAAAGGCTTGGCCTCTCGTTGATTTTGTGTCAGCGGCTGCACTTCGGCTGTCTGCTGATAGAAGGTTGGCGGCTGCATCTCTGCGGCCTGCCCTCCTTGCCCTTGTGTTTTGATGATCCCCTTCCATTGGAGATTAGACACGTCTGGACCATGACATCCCTATGGTAGTGTTGGCGCATTCCCCATCGGCTGTGCGCTTAATCGCCCTAGCGGGGTCATGCCAAATGTTGAAAATTTGCTTGCCCCTCGTGGAGACTCAGCATTGCTCTTCAAAACTCCAACGGCCACGGGGTTCCAGCCCTCCGCAGCCTGTTGCCTCCAGCGCTCCGTAGGCTGTCGCCAGCCTTCCGCAAACTGGTAGTTCCAGCCTTCCGCAGGCTGGTGGTTCCAGCCCTCCGCAGGCTGTTGCCAGCCTTCCACGGGCTGTTGCTTCCAGCTTCCTGCAGGTTGTTGGTTCCAATCATCCGCAGGCTGTTGGAACCAGCCTTCTGCAGAGTGGTGGTTCCAACCCTGTTGGTTCCAGCCTGATCTTGCTTGCCCCGGCCCTAAGGCCTGAAGCATTGGATGTTTTGAAACAATTCCGTAGCTTTTTTCAGGCGGTACATATGAACCCCATGTCAACCTCGACATCACTCTTCGAAAAAATCCGACTTTGGTCCCACTGGGCGTACCAATTGTTGGATCCTGCAATTCGGAGGTTCCAATAATGTTCGTCGATTTGTCGGTGTGGGTTCCAGAAGTACTCCAAAGAGCTTGTCCGTCGTCGGATTGGAGGCAGCTCCTACGATGGAGCCTGCACAGCTTCGATCGTCCACGAGGCTTTGAGCCTAAACGACCGATTTCGATGGATTTAAACTAACATCTACTAAAACTCGGATAAATCTACTGGAAAGCGGATAAAAGTATGTAATTCAAATTAAAATGCATTAAACAAAAATAAAACATGAAAGGAAAGTAAGAAAATAGACGAATTGTTCTGTTGTGCGTGTGTGTTGTGTTTCTTTTTCCTACTTGTAATCCTAAGCTAGCATAACCACTTCTCCCACTAAAAGGGGCGGTTACAATTATTTCTCCACCACTCTCAACCACTTAGTAACCTCCCACTACTACCTCCACCTTCCTGGTAACCTCCCTATACTACCTCCAACTTCCAAATTACCTCATTCCACTACCTCCTAATCACCTCGTAACCCCCTTCCATCAGCTCCCTGGTAACCTCCTTCCATAAACTCCTAACTACCTGGTAACCTTCTTCTATCACCTTACCATGATATCCTCTCATATTTCTGGTGATTTCCTCTCATATTTCTAGTGATTTATATCACTTGCTTGATGGCTCACTAGACTAGCTCTACAGTTATGTG